CATATAATTTAAGATCAAAGCCATGACTTAGCTTAGGTTGGAAAAGCTGGTCGTATAGGCAATCCAAGGCATAGTAAGGTTGGTTGATCCATGATTCTCTCAAAGGAAGGCTAACTTTAAAAAGGCTGAGTACGCAGTAGAAAAGCAAGTTAAGTATGTATTTTTAATAATGTTTTTAAATTTTTATTTTTCACATCCTTTATATCCTGATTGCAGTTTGCCTTACACATTACAATAAGGCCAGGCACAAACCCTCATATCAAGACTAGACAAGGTGACCCAGTAGGAGAAAAAGGGTCTCAAACACGAAACACAGGCAAAAGCATCAGAAATACCACACACTCCCACTATTAGGAGCCCCACAAGACCACTATATAAACATAATGTTTATACGCAGAGTTCCTAACTCAGATCCATGCAGTCTCTGTGACTGTTGCCTCCGTTTCTGTGAGCCCCTATCATCCTGCTTAGTTGATTCTGTGAGTCGTGTTCTAGTGGTGTCCTTGACACCTCTGGTTCCTAAATCCTCCCTCCCCTACCCCTTCTGTGGGGTTCTCCTGGCTCCACTTAGTGTTCGGCAGTGGGTGTCTGCATCTGCTCCCATCAGTTGCTAGAGGATGCCTCTCTGAACACAATTGGGCTAGGTACCGATCTATGACCTTTTTTTTTTTTTTCAGTCTTATTTGGTTCTACTATCCTGGGTTTCTGGGTCTTCTCAGCCTCTGGTTTCTTGTCATCCACGGGATGTCAGGTGTGGGCTCCCTCTCCTGGTGTTGGCCTCAAGTTAGCCCAGTTATTGGTCTAACTCTCAGGTTTTAAGTGGATTTAGTTGGCCACATTGGGTGCCAATTGTGGATTGAGGCTGCTTGTTCATTCCTCACTGCCCAGATTTGAAATAATCACACAGGAACTCTATTATTTGCAATACTATTTGACCAATATCTTAAGCATATTTCTGGCTAACTCATATCTTAAATTAACCCATTTCTATTAATCTGTGTATTGTCATGTGGCAAAGTTCTGGCATCTGTCTGCTCCAGAGGCTACCTGGCATCTCATTGACTCCACCTACTTTCTCCCAGCATTCAGTTTAGCTTTCCCATTTAGCTCTATTCTGCTCTATCACAAGCCAAAGCCACTTCTTCATTCATTAATCAATAAAAGCAACACATATTCAGAAGGACTTCCCACATCAGCCATCTTTATCCTAGCACATCTTGCAAAGCAAGACATCTTGTAGGTTGAAGGTTTTGTGACTGGGTCGATGCCCCCATCTCACTGCTGAGAGACTTGCCTAGTGACAAAAAAAAATGGCACTTTGGGCTCTGTGTCCCCCATTACTAGGAGACTTCACTAACATCACCCTCATAGATTCCAGGGAGTTTCCACTGCACTAGGTTTCTTCACCATCCCCCAAGCACTCCAATTCTAGTCATCTTGTCCAGTACTCTCTCCTTCTATCCCCCTTCAAGTACATATTCTTAAATGATCTTATGGTTTATTGTGGACTTGGCTTTAAGCTCTGCCCAAAGTTCAATGTTTAAATGTCAAGAAATCATTTTCATAAATTATACCATTACACCACATTTTACATGAATTATAATAACGAGCCTCTTAAAGAGGATTTATTTATTAGTTTTATTTCTCAAGTACACTTGTAAGAGAAGCTCACCCCAAGTACCAGATTTTGCTGGTGGGGTGATTAAATAGGAAGCCTAAAACACCTGTGCAGAAAGACAGATGCAGCTGACTAGACATGGGAGAGCATAGGCCTTCTCAGTAGCATACTGGAAACCTAGACAGACAGACAGACAGTGTTGATGCCCACTTTTTTACATAGTTTTGTTTTGTTTTGATTTTTGTTTTTATGAGACAGGGTTTCTCTGTGTAGCCCCTGCTGTCCTGGAACTCAGTCTGTAGATCAGGCTGGCCTTGAACTCACAAAGATCAGCTTGCCTCTGCCTCCCAAGTGCTGGGATTAAAGGGGTGAGCCATCACTGTCTGACTCACATAAGTTTAATAGTATGCAAATATTGAAACACTATTTTTACCTCAAGGTCTTAATGTCTTTAAGTTCTAGGTAGCTACTTTGCCTTTTTAGGGAATGGACACCATGTGGGTAATTCAGTGGTTCTGCTGTTAATGGATTCATTCAACCCTCTCGCACAGCACTCAGATCTGCCTCTTGTAGACAGACCCCAAAGTGAACAGGGAGCTCTGAGAATTCTGAGCAAATGCTGAGAAGTGCACCCAGATGCACATGCCTTCCCCAGCATGAGACATCATCCTTCCTCCCTTAAGGACCATAAGGACCTCTGATGGCTCTGATGTAAGGTCTCCAAAGGCTGCTCTCTACAGTGTTTTCAGGTTTCCTTGGAGACATCTTGAGAACAGCAGGCTTTTTGCTCACTATACTATTGCTGGAAGAGACAGCTCTGTGGCCGTGACTCCTGCCTAGAAATACGGGTTTAGTTAGAAGCTCAGCCTATGGCACTATGAACCACTGTCAGTTTGGGGGAAACTCTTTCTTGGTGTATGCATTTCCCCTTCAGGTGACAAGTGGAGACTTATTTCCTGTTCTTCAGAGGTTAATGGGCTTCCCACCTTTTTTTACTCCCCAGATAGCTTGGTGGGTTTGTTGTTTATTTTTGAGATTGTAATTTAATTACAGTGTTTCTCCCATCTCTTTTCTCCCTTCAAAGGCTCCTTCCAATCTCTCCTTGTTCTTCAAGGCTTCTTTTTCATTTATTGTTATTATATGCATATATGTATTTGTATATACAAATCTATCCCAACATATAATCTGTTGTATTTAATGTTCCGTATAATGTTGCTTGGTTTTCTTTTTTGCTTTCTGGTTTGTTTTATTTTGTTTTTGAGACAGTGTCTCACCATATAGCTCTGGCTGTCCTGGAATTCCCTATGTAAACTGACCTCAAACTCAAAGAGATCCATCTGCCTCTGCTTCCGAGTGCTAGGATGAGAGGTGTGCACCACCATTCCCAGCTGTGTGTAAGTTTTCAGGGCTGACCGTTTGACAGTGAACAGCCAACTGGTGCATTCTTTCCTGGGAAGGACCATCTCTCCTGCCCCCATTTTCCTTTAGTTCGTTGTGTGGTTGAAGCTCGGTGGGCTTGCCTCCACCCGGTTTGGCATGTTTGCTGGTATTCTCATTCTGCTGGCTTTCAGAAGCAACTATAGTAACTTCCAGCACCTCGGCACACTTATGTTCCCTGAAGTTTCATTTTGCTCTAATTTGCAGCACTTGTCTTGGGGTATAGGACTAAATTTTGTTGCATTTGCTGTTGGCTATGAAATTATTGGTCATTGCGGTTTATGCTAGTACGTGGTCTCGTTAATGATTTACCCATAGTTTACAGTGCATCATTTAAACAAACGGTTATTACTCAGTGACAAGGGCGTCTCTGATAGACCAAACTGAAGGGAGGGGACTTCTCCAAATGTTACGAAAGGCTGTAGAGAACACCCTATTGCTTGGAGTCAAGTGAACGTTTGCATATTTATCACTGCTCTGTCAGTTCTTGGGCAGCTAAGCGGGGATCTGCTGTCAGTCCATTCTGGCTGCTGTAGCAAACACTGAAAATCAGATGACTCATGAAGCTCAGACACCTTTCTCAGTGCTGGAGCTAGAAGGTTCAGGATCCAAGCAGAAGCAGTGTGGTGACTCATAGGGCCCACCTTCTCCCCCAGGGTACCTTCTCCCTGAGGTCTGCATGCTTCAGGGCAACTGTGCACTCTGCCCCTTTGATTGGAGCACTAATTGCATTCACGGCCTTACTGCTCGTTACCTTCCAGAGGACCTGCCTCCTAATTGCAAAACCACATTGAGGGTTAGGATTTCTACATTCAATTTGGGAAAGACATATATGGTCATATCATTATATTATTAGACTTCATAATCATTTTATACACACACAAATACAAACGTTTCCCATCAAAAAATGAAAGACTTCTTAATTATGGGTTGTTTTTACAAAATAATACACAGACATGGAAAGACTAGGAAGGAATGACAGCACCCTTCCTGGTAGTGACTGAGTCCGTGAAGAACACCTGCTTTTTCGGGCAATGAAGAGGGGGAAATTCATAGAACAGGGAGTCACATTGCTCTACAGGGCTGAATTCAAGAGCCCTTGCTCCAGGCTTCTCTTCCAAGTTACACCCTTCTCCCTCCTCTGATTACTTAGGAATAGGCCTTATGTTCTCCACAATAGAAATAAGTTCCCCAAGATTGCAGCTGCAGCTCGTCTTTTAACACCTAGAATTGTGTGATTTATCCTGGTTTGTGTCAGAAAGCGGTGCAAGCCCATTTCATTATATGAAACCGAAATTATTATTTTTCTGAACATAAATCAGGAAATGGATTCAGTACACATTACCTGAGGCTGACATTCCCAGCCCCTTAGCAGTGCATGTCAGTGAATGTATTTTCTTGCTCATTCATTGTTGCATTCTGAATCATGCCCCTGCCCCGTATGGCGGTTGAGATCTCTCCTTTCCAAGGTTGAGGGTTGCTGTAGAATAATAAAAAACTTTAACTTGACCTACACAAACCTTTGCTTCTTAGCACACTTTACAAAGTTCAGAGGAAGAACGGATAGATTCAGTATAGTCCTTTTGTTTTGTTCAAACTTATGTCATTTTATTACATTACCGAGGAAAATGCAGTAACAATGGTTGTGAACCTTTTTCTACCTTCTTTGATATCCTCAAATAATTTATGGTTCCAGCTTAATAATCTCTGCAGTTTTATGTATGAACTCATGTGATTCTGCATACTTCCAACTACAAAATGAAAACCTGAAATGCTGATTTGACTACACAGAAATACTTGATAAATGTAAATTTCGCTGGTTTTTGTTATGAAAGTTCATTTCAGATGTTTAGCAATAATGCTTAAAATGTCTCACAGTGACCTGAACTGCATCTTTTAGTTTGCACTCTGAGATTAATGTCTCAATACGCATGCATTCTCTCAGGAGGTTGAGCTGTGCCGTGTTAGCAGTCAAGAGAAGCTGGGCCTGACGGTCTGCTACCGCACCGATGATGAAGAAGACATGGGCATTTATGTCAGCGAGGTGAGAGAAGCTGTGGAGAGGACCTGAAGGATCCTGAAGGGAGGGAGAGGGGAGAGATGACTTGAAAGGGCTCAGGAGGAGAAAAGCCTCTTTGCAAGGCCTGGATGTGAAGAACTGGCCGCCTTCCAATTCTTGCCACTTTCAATTAGGGAAGCAAATTATGCTGCCCGAGTAATGCAATTATCATCAGCTTGTTTAGCATGGAGGCTTTCCCTGCAGAATCCCAGCAAGGAAAAGTGCGAAAGTAGTAACACTGTCGAAATTTGAATAAATTCCCGGAAGGTCCCACAAGAGAGCAGCAGGCTGAGCTGAGCTCTGGTCCCCAAACATTTGTCCTTCCGTCCCATTGCATCTTTTATACTCTGCTAACAGCAGTATTAGCTAATTATTTTAAACTAACAGTCATAATAATCACCTCTTTTACTCTGCTGGTGGGGTGGACAGATTTAAATATCCAAGAAGTACATCTGTCCATTTCTTTTATCCAACCACATGATCATTTTCAAGCGACAAAGCACTACCTTTGAGTCGCCATTTTCGTACTTGCTTGAAAGACTGCCAAGCAGAATTGGTTGCAATAGATATCTGGAAAAATAGATCATTTTAGAAAATGTAAGAAGGTATGTATTTTTCAATTAAAACTACTTATGATTTAACCCTATGCTTGCCGCCACCCATGAGGATGTGCATATTCTATGACTTAGTTCCTGTAGAAATGTCTATAAGCGTTAGACAGCCTAGAAGCTAATGTTCTCTGCAGTCCGAGCCATGATGGATACAATGTTAAACAGTACCTAACAAACTCCGTCAGCAGTTTTCCGCAGAGTTGCTTTAACTGTGCAACTCTGTAAGAGATCTGCAACTAACACACCTGGGGAGCAGCACAACTTTGCAAACATGGACTGGGATTTGTCTTTCTCTCTTTACCAAAGATTTTGCTGCCTCCTTCCCACCTGGGTGATTCTCCAGAGTGTACTTCCTTTGGTGACTTCTTTAAAATGAATGACTCCAGTGATCCCTCTTCACCGAGGAATGGGGGAGCAAGACACACCCACTGAAACCTTTTCTGTAATGTGTGCAGAAACAGGGAGTTTTGTGGGTGATTTGATTGCAGTTTTAAGGACAAAGTTTCATGTGATGGACAGCTTTAAAAAGGGACACACTTCATTAATAATAGAATCCTCTTCATTCTGGTTAAGTCTCCGTTTAGTGTTTAAATGGATCAGATGTGAAACCTCTTTTTTCAGAGGTGATAAAGAAGCCACTTTCTGTGCTTGACTCAGCATCTCATTCTCAGTTCTCAGCTGGGACCCTAATAACATGCAGTGTCGGAACTGAGCAGATCAACCTCATACAGTTCTTGAAATACTTGGGCAAGAATCACTGATGGACTAAGTCAAGTCTAGAAATAACTTGAAACTATCACAGGGACTGAATAGATAAAATTCAGCTGAAAGCCTTCACTCGGGTGTGAACCTCTTAAAATATTGGAACATTCTTAGTAGAGCTGTAAATAACTATTTGTTCTAATAATGAAAAGTTGATATAATTAATTTTATATGTAAAGTGGCGCCAAGTAACAGAATGTACAGATAGGTTTTTTATAGATTAAATATTTCTTTTAAAATAATATACTTGTGGCTCCAAAATCCATTTACTAAGTGTGGACTTAAGATGTCTATCAGCTTTCCAAATGCATCTCCAGGATTATTTACAGGTTGTTTTAGTATAATGTAAATTTCCTAGGTCCAGAAAAGTCCCAGTGTTAATGACATCACGGCAATCCTGTCAGCTAAAGACTACCTGACAACTGAGCTTCAGAAATGACAGAAAGGATGTGAAAAGGGAGGGCCCAGATGGAGGGAGAGGGGACGGAAAAATGATCTGCAAATGAAGGTCTTCCTGGTCCATTTTATTGTTGCTAACTCTAAAGGTGTTCATTTACAGCTTTAGAAATAGAGGTTTTGACAGAGAAAAATGAGATGCATCTTACCATAAATCAATAGAGAATTGAGCCAATAGAGTCTAAAACTATACCATCTTAAGGTACTATGTTTTAAAACTGCATTTTAAACTCTTAGGAGGATAGTGTACGGCCCTGAAGATATATGCTTTTTCTATTACAGGTTGACCCAAATAGCATTGCCGCCAAGGACGGCCGGATTCGAGAAGGGGATCGTATTTTACAAGTATGTGATGGGGTTATTTTCTCAAGTTTCCCATAGGCAGTCTAACAGCTTTTATTTTAGCTTGGTTCTTGTAAAATGTTAGGAGGAAACGAGCTTGTCGTGGCTTTTGCATATTATCATTTATAAAACAAAATGCTATCATTTCAAAGTAAAGGCGGTACCTTTTCTCAATAGTTATTAGCTAATAATTATTGAGATACATGGAATGAGATGGCTGTGTTTTGCCTTCCGGTTCCACTATTGGGTTTGACATGCTATCTGCCTTCCTCCATGTAAGACTGTTTTCTTATCGTAAGGTATGTAACCTACTATTGTTGCAAATATTGTTCCATGAGATGTGTGCGGTGTGCTTAGCACAATGATGATACATGGCTGGTCATCAACAGTAGCTGTTACCCCTAGCTGCAGCGATGGCGGTATTTTCCAGAATAAAGTACTTGAACATGGATCCACGTGTTCCCTTACTATACAAATCTCTAAGAGTCAAAAACAGCTTTCACTCATGATGTTATGGGGAGCTACCAAGGCCAGATGGAAGAGCTGTGATTTCTTCTCCATAGAGAAATATGAAAACATTCTAGGTGATTGAGAAATATGAAACAGTGAGCCGAGCATAGGCAGGTCCAGGGCTGGAAAGAGTCCCATTGCCTGATGAGGGTTCACAGAAAGCCCAAGGCCTGCTCTAAACCTGCCTCTGCCCATGGTATCGCTTTAGAGTCTTTGCCTTAAAGAACGACTGGAAAAATCCATACAAGACTAAAGTCCAGGTCAATCTCCAAATGAAAGTGCTGAGTTGAGTTCTTAGTCGCAGGTATGAAACAGAGTGAGAGGTACGAGCATGGTTGCTTGAAGGAGTACCCACTTAAAAGTCCTGATAGCTTCTAGAGATGGTACCATATCCAGAGTTCCCATCTCTCCAGCTAGGAGTGGATGCCAAGAAGATGCTGCTTCAGACTCTACTCTTTACTCCAACTCTGAGCTTCAGAAATATACAAGATGCACTAGGGGCACCCTGCCCTTTCTAAATGGGAAGACAGCAGCCCACACAGATGATGACAAAATAGCGTGGCATTATGGAGGTGTCCCTAAGCTGCTTGGTGTCTCACCCTGCCAGCCCCCAGGACAACCTTGCTAACCCCCGTCAGGCTTCCACTCCTTTTTTCCTTAGCTTGATACCACAGATCCTGTCCACCAACAACCCTCTAGGGTTCTAATTAGGAAAGAATAAGAAGTGGAGTCTGTGATGATTTAGGGTCAAAACAGTTTCCAGAAAATTTCAAGAGTATGCAATGCAGGAAGGCTTATGACTGGTGGCCTGTAGTTAAGCAAATGGACCTGTGCCCATTGTTGGATACATCGGGGGAATAAAATGTCTGTCTGGAAATCGAAACATGGCCTTGTTTTGAGACACATGTTCAACACCTTCACACACACACACACACACACACACACACACACATGTCAATAAATGAAACAGGCATTCAGGAAAGATGAATAAAATCTGCAGAGAAGCTATACTAGGGTAGCCTACACAACAAGTTAGTGTTTAATATAGATAGTAGAAGGTTGGAATATTCTATTTTTCAAATGAATTGAACTATTAACTGTGTTGTTGCCTTATTAATATCTTCAGCTCACCAAAACAGTGTGACTTCTTGGCTCTTAGGTCACTAGGGGCTAACACACAGTAAGATGTTGAGTATCTGAAAAGCTTGGAAGGATTTTTACCCACAAAGTGACCATCCTATTCAGCCACATTTTGAGGTATTGAATCTATCCATTCTCATCTTCTCTGCTGTCCCCCACCAGCTCTTGCCTCCTCCTCTTCCCACCCACACCTCCTCTTATACCATCACCTGGCTCCCTTCCAACTTTCCACCCGGCTCTTCTCTCATTGTCAAACACCGTTTTTAAAATTACATTTAATAAGATTACACCCTTTAGTTCTGTGGCTAACTGGATAGAAGGGAGTGGGAATGCATGTGTTTCCATGAGACCGCATATTTTGAAGCTTCTAAGTTCTTAGCTATTTTGTATGCAGCTTTATTTTTGAAGAAAAATGCCTACGGAATAATAAAGAATTCCTTAATGGAATTAGTTCATTGAAGAAACAATGGCAGGGTTGATAAAGTGCTGTTTTCTGCCAGATTACTTTATATTCTGTGACAAATACTGCAAACTAAATGAACATACACACATCACATTAAAAAGCCTAGAATTCAATTTTGTCTCACACACATAGGATGCAAAGTGTCTTAAGGGTGATGGTGAAATTATATTAAATAAAGCTGTGACAAAATTGTACCCACAGACAAATAGCTCCCATCTGTCTGGTGAGGAGATTATGGGATACCTTGTAATGAACAATTAATGACTCCTTTCCCAGAGAGAGGGCAATGGAGAAAGCAGGAATTACTTCTTATCCATAAGGTTTCTGGGTTGGCTTTTATTTAAATTAACCTCTTTACAGAAACTGTGACTTTAATTGTCTATTTATGATGGCCTAAGGGGAGTGTATTTATGAATCTGCCCTCATTGTGGAGCTAATATTTTCTTCATCTAGAATACCACGCACATCTTAGATGACTTTCTGATGATGCCCATTCCTCTCTTCTCCCCCCCCCCACAAACACACACTCACACACACACACACACACACACACACACACACACTCACAGTCTCACAGTCTCACAGTTGGTAGACATCAGAAAGGGACCATGCAGAAGGAAAAAAACATTAATCAGCCTCTCTGGAACGTTTCCAGTTCTAATATGTTTGCTCCCAAAGTGCTGAGTGGTTCTGTCTGCCATGCCATTGACAATAACTTAGATCCATCTTGTTCCTGAAATTTACCTGAAAACAATTATAGAGCTGAAGAAGGCATTTCTGAGTCAGGCTGCAATGGTTAAATGTCATACAAACAACCAGTTCCTGAAAGGAGACAGTACCATGCCCCACTGTCTCCTTGGAGGGATAAGCAAAGAAGAGTCCCTGTAACATGCTGCTACATGCTAACATGTAGCATGCTGGTCAAAGAGCCAGCCATGTGCCTACAGATTCCTCCTGTGAAGGCTCTACCGGAAGGGATGATGGGATGGCAGCCTTTGAGTGAGCTGTCTGCATTCTCAGCTCTATATCTGAACTGGTATGCAGCGTGTGTTCCCATGTGTTGATTACCTCTCTTTGGACAACGGTTTTCCCTGAGTCTTTTCTAGCCCCTTTGTATCAGTATATGTCCCTTCCCTTCCCTCTCTGAGTTATTAAATACGCATGCAACATAGCCCCCTTCTTTGGGCCAAGATGATTAGATTTTCCTGAGAGATGTCATAAGTAGTTGGATGCCAACATTTCAGTTGTTTGTCTGTCTCAGGCACAACACTACTGAAGCCTACATACTGGTATATTCAAGCAGGAAAACCATATTATGCCACATACAGATCTTTGGACATTGCTCCCCCAATGCGAGGGGATCGGACCTAAAGTGAGAGTTTGGTTCATTTCTTTCATCCAGCACAAAGACATACCTACTTTCCCCTGCTCCAACAATACCCATTTTGAAATGAATATTTGCACATTTATGTACAGAAAATATGAGAAGGTCTAAATCTATTATATACAAAAATTAACCCCATTTAGAATGACATTATCATATTGTTTTCCCCGGGGCTCTCATCCCTTCTTTCCTAAGCCAAATGTCCTTCAGGAAGCCGAAGGGGACAGGCCTGGAGATCATGCTTCTCTCTCTGATGCGCTGTGTCTTCCTGGGAAAGAGCAAGCTGCTTTCTCCCTAGCAGCTTTGCAACCAGAAGCCATTATTCCAGGAACAAAGACAGCTGAAGGTTGAGAGCTCTATCAGATTCCCTCCTCAGATCTCTCATTTCTGAGAGGACTCCTTGCTGAAACACACAGCCGCATTTCTTGCTTTCTATCAGTTTGAACACCAAGCTAAAATCCCGAGAACACAGAAATCTACCAACCAGTTGGAGAAAGTGACCCTTATTTTGAAAAAGAAAATAGCGAATAATAGTTTAATAGCAAATTTCTGCAGTGGCTTCATTTCATCCCGTGTGATCCCGAGGATGAGTGGCTTCCACAGCAAATGTTTTGTGTTTACCGGCAATCCTAGAAGCCAAAGTGCAGACCACTGTGAGATTACAAGGTAGAAAGCTGACTGTCAACTACAGAGGGATTGAAAAGTAAACATGCCACTGTGTTGGTGTCCTCTTAAACGTTAAGACTACATCAAAAATAAATACCTGTCTAGACAGAAACAGACCTACTCCTACATATTTAAGTCTGTAGGTTTTACTCTGTTGTCTTTACTGAGAAGGACTTAGTTTGCCTTCACAGTGGAATATATATATATATATATATATATATATATATATATACATATACATATTAGACAGACAGCAGACAGACAGACAGACAGATAGATAGCGAGAGTAATACAGCCTATGCAGCTATAGGGGCATGAGCTGTAATTATGCCGGCAATTTTTGCCCTTTACCATGACCCTCTGAAAAACCCACTATGAGCATCTAGTCTACATTGGCAAACACGATAGCAACATTAGAATAGTGGAGAAGGGGAGCAGAGTGATAGCAAGTGAACCTGGGTGATGAAAGGGAAAGTATGAATAAGTTTGAGTGAAAGCCAGAGGGGAAAGTAGTGAGCGTTAAATCCCAGGCAAAAAGATGGAGCTTAGCCATGTTGGTAACCACAGGACTTTTAGAGTCAAATATGCCTAGAACGAGACAGTTGTGCTTCAGGTAAACTAAGAAGTGCCACGGAACGGCCAGAAGCCCTTGGGCCAAAGGAAGCAAAGGCCATAGTCTGTTAAAACCACAGTCCTAGCTGCACAAGGCTTGTTTGAGAACTAGGAATAAGAAGGAATACACTTGAAACTCACGAGCATTGGGGCTTCTATGTACAGACAAGCAAGAAACGGAGGTGGCGGCTGTTTTGATCACATTATGAAATGCCTGTGAGCTGGCTGCTTTTCTTCTCCTGTGCTCTGCTTCCCTAAGCATCTCTAATAAGGGTTTAGGGATAAGGATGATTCCGTGGTCCAGAGTGAGATTCTAAGGCTGGTTTCCCTGTTTTCTGGTTAGCTTGTCTGTCCTTGTGGAGCAACCGGAATCCCAGAGACCCACAAGTGGAAACTCTGAGTGAAAATATGAAGTTGCTGGAGAAAGAACCTGGCTAGCATGGCCATGTCTCCTTCCTATTTAATCTATATACGTAGTGTTCATTTAGAGACTTTCCTCTATGTTTGAAATTTCCACATATGTTGATAATATGCTAGAGATTGAAAATATCGCCTCTATGAATTTGAGAAATCAATAAAACAAAATGAGTTTAAGCTTCCAAAGGAAAATCTGCTGAACTAAAATTAAATATATCTGGACACAAAAATGTAGTTTAAGGATGCTTACTCTGTTTTAAGAACATAGGCATGTCTGAACACTGTACGATTTTTTGTTCTGCACAATCTAAAGCTTACAAAAGGTTGGTTTCTTTCCCTCTTTTGGTAAAAGTCAATTTTACTTGATTCGATCTTTAACATTTCCAAGTATACTTAAAATATTGTATGTGATTTTTTGAAGCAGGAAGTGGGTAAAGCCTTGAAAGGAGTCAAGTGTTGGGAGCAGGGTTCTAAGGAGTTCTTGTCTGTTTTAGACTCATCTGGGATATAACTGCAATGATATTGGGATAACTGAGTCAGGGTCCCTCCCAAACATGAAGTGATTAACTGAGCCCAGGTCAGCAGCAGTCTGGGAGCGCAGCCTGCTCAGGGGCCCTCTGCAGCTCTCTAATTGGCTCCCGGGAGCATGCAGGATGACGGATTTCAGTTGTGGAACTGCCAGCCGCTTCCCCCAGCACTATTATCTCAGAGTGACACTTCCATTACTCTGAGCGGAGAAAGATGAACGTCACCTGTCAGGGGCTGGTTAATTGTGTTGCTAGATGTATGTTGCCAGGGCGCAGGTTGGACACTTATGAACATAACTGCTTCCTGTGATGTCCACCATCCTTCAGGGATCGATGCGGCTCTCACGGCGCGCGTGTAATTGAGTGAAGGCACTTTCCACGGAGGGGCGAAGATGAGCCCATTGTGGCAGCTTCATTGTCCATACATTTACCATAAATGAGCTGATACTTGCCATTTATTGTGTGCAGCATTGTGGAAATAGAAACTAATGTGCCACTTGCATTTGTTCTCTAGATAAATGGGGAAGACATCCAGAACCGGGAAGAGGCCGTGGCTCTGCTGTCGAGCGAGGAGTGTAAGAGGCTTGTGCTCCTGGTCGCCAGGCCCGACATGCAGGTTCGAGCAGAGAGCAGGGTCTTGAGCCTGGACGTTATATTCACTGAGTTCATGAATGAATGTGTATGCGTTCCTGCTGGGCAACGTGGAATCTTTTCCATGACTGTCTGTATGTATAAACACAGGTGCAAAGGCTGATTGATTCTTACCATCTTAACTTCACCCCCAGCAAAGCCTACTAAAGACTCCAGGAAAAACAGCTAAGCATTGAATTTTAGAGAAAAATTTAAAACACACGAAAAGGAATCCTATCTCTCTGTCTGCTTGACAGTTTCTTAAATGAAGTAACAAATGAGAGATAGTTGACTTCAGATTATTTTATTTTAAATTCCATATAGACCCTTCCTTTAGGCTTCCATCTAAAATACATAATTGGCATATTAAGGCATCACGAAGGATTCTCTAATGAGAAAAATATTAGCATCTGTAGCTATCATCTTGAATCTTCCTAAAATAACTATGAGATGAACTCTCTGGTGTAGTTCCTTGGAGGACATGAGTTTTTTCCACAATTTAACGTGACAAAAACATTTTCCTGCCGCCCAAAAATGACGCTTCAAAAGGAACACTTGTCTGTCTTGACAGAGGAAGGTGCCATCCACAAAAAAGGAGAGGTAATGGTCGGGGAAAGGCTCTTACCTCACGCCTCTTTCCACTTCCTGTTCCTGTCCCCTTGAACGCAGAGTGGGCAGCACCTGTCACCCTCCTACCCACCTGTCAGCAGTGGGAGGGAAGTTAGTTATGTCATCGTTTGTCTCCCAGGCTATTGATCTGATATTTTTCAGACTCAGTAACTACATTCTCTCTATAAATTACACCGAGAAAGTGTAGTTCAGTGTCAGGCTGGGTCCTGACTTGAATATAGTGGATATAAAAGACCCCTCTTCCCGCATATATTTCCTTTATGCCCTTGACCATTCTAAATGGTTCTCATAAAGTCTGCTGTAGCCTGGAGCGGAGTAAAGCCACACACCTGAGGTCGTGGTGGAGGGGAACGAGCCCGTACACCAGGCTGGAGTGCCTTCTTGCTAGGAGGGCATTTTAAAGTGCGTTTGAAATTGTCGCAATTATCTGGAAGATTCTTGAGCCAATTATCTCACGGATGCCAGTCCCTTAAAGAAAAAAGAAAGAAAAGAATAAAGGCTAACAGTAAAGTTCTTGGTAAGTTGAAATGAACCGAGCGGCCATCCCTGTTGTGGAAAGGGTTTGTTATAAGGCAATTTCCTGTCCTCCCATGCAGCTGCTGGGGAGCTCATGAATTTAGAACTGAGGCGTTTCCCAGAGTGATCATAATGGGTAATAGAAATAATAAATACTGATGGCTCAAGACTAGACCTGCTACTCTTTGCCAGGCATACCTGGTTGGCAGAGGGTGGCTACCTGGCTCACCCTCCCGAGCTTTCCCTCTGCAGTAGTCAGTGCTGGAGGGTGAATCATCAAATCGGACCCTTTCCCCCTTGCTAACAGACGTCTCCACACCACCTGCTCAAACCAGGGTTGCCTTCACCCTTGGTTCTGAAAAAGGGCTCTATATGTCACTAGGAAAGACACAATTGCTTTGAAAACTGGATTTCCAGTGAAATCATCCAAAACAATTCATCATAACACCATACCTTCAAAATAGAATTAACAAGGTACACGGTCGAGTTGAAAAAAAGAAAAAAGAAAAGCAAAAAGCAGACGGATCCTGTTTCTCCACCTGCTGTCTTTGTCTGTCAAATTCAGCATCTCTTGTTGCATTGTGTGAGTGTGTAGTTTGAGCAGGGAGAATGAGGAAGCACACTCTTTGTGTGCCTTCCATAACGTGTTTAAAAATGTTTCGAATGCTCTCCAGATCCTTGGAAATGATCTATGTGCTTGCTGGAGGCAGTAGTGTACATCTGTGCAATGTTTTTAAATAACTCATTTCCTTCCTTCCCTGTCACCTTTCTTTCATTTCCTGCCCATTTTCTTTCTCAGACCATTAAAGATATTGCTTTCTATCCCGTTCCCCCCGGGAAATGGGGGCAGCAAGGGCTCTCAGAGAAACTTGGAACCACCAGTTTTGAGGCGGTGAACTCCGTCCTTTCTCTACCGGGCTGTGTCTGACCTACTTTGTGTGGACACCGCCCCTTGTCCTGTGAAGCTGATCCTTCCTTCCTTGCAGTTTTAGCAAGGAACCTTAGCATACAGTTAGATCTGAGGTACTGTAAATTCTGTGTGGGCTTTAATGGCCACCATGGAATCTGTGTTATAGTTTGCTATCTCTTGTTGTGTTAAACACCAGAACCAAAAGCAATTTGGGGAGGAAAGAACTGTCTGCTTGCTTGGTAGTTTTACACCATCACTGAGGGATGCCAGAGCAAGAGCTCCTTGCAGGTTCTTGGGGGCTGGAGTTTTAGCAAAGACCACAAAGGATGCTATGCACTGGCATAGACCAGTTATAACACAGGCCCACCCACCCAGGGATGCTACCCCTGACAGTGGGATGGGCCCTCCTACCCCAGTTATCAACTAAAGAAATGTATCCACAAACATGCCCGTGGCCAGTCTGATGGAGGCAAGTCCCCGGTGACTTCTCCCCCTCCCAGGCGTTTTGTCAAAATGAATGTTTACTACAATGACACCATGATCCGTCCTCTGCTAATAAACGTCATACAAGTGTGTGAACGCTTGTGGTACCACTTAATGTCCTGTTTTCAAGTTGGCTTTTTTATTTTTAAAGTTTTGGGACATTCATTTGTCGTTAAAGGTTTCTTATTCAAAACACCTCCAACTCTTGCCCCTTTGTCATTAGACACCTGTGTTCTTTGGAGCCCAGAGTGAACAGAGTTCTGATGGCAGTACGGGTCATTTAATGAGCATAAACAGTTAAAGTATGTACTCCAGCTCCAGAAATGGAGGCCAATTATCCACATTGGCTGTCGACAGCAATCTCCAGCTTCCTACTTCACTTTATGTGAAGAAACCAACGAGATTTGTTTCAGTGAGGGTTGAAAGTGCCTCACCCACAAGTGGAACTGCGTACCACTCCACTTCCTTTAAAGACCACATTGGCCAGAATCCCTAGGACTAATAGACGTGATGGGAGCTGGGGTGTCCTCCATGGTACAGTATGTGCCTAACACGCTTGAGGCCTTGAGTAATTCTCAGAACCCTGTAGATAAGCAGGCAGGGCTAAGGTTACTTTTATTTCCCTAAAGAATTTAGGTGCCGGTGAGATGGCTCAGTGGATAAAGTCACTTACCACCGAGACTGATAACCTGAGTTTGGTTCCCTGAAGTCACCTGGTGCCAAGAAAGGACCTACTCCCACAGGGTGTCCTCTGAGTTTCTGGTGGACCCCATGGAATTTGGACATATACAGGCATGCACACACATGCACGCACACACACACACACACACCACACACAGTATGGAGGGGAATAATTAAAGTTTGCGTGATTGGTTTTTAATCTTTGGGATGTTTTTTCTTTTTTATAGATAATATCTCTGTGTCTATCAAGTCTTTTATGAAGAGCTTCACCTTGCTATCTTGAGTCACCCAACTAAAAAAATTTAAAAAAAAAAAAGCAGGATGAGGGTAAAATCGGCTTGTTGGGGACACATTGTATACAGCCACACTGGGGGATACTGCTAATGGTAAAAGCCCAATTGTCTCATAGCCGGATCAGAACCACTGCGGTTCTTTTCACCCAGGGCTGTGAGAGATAATGAGCAGGCCAGCTGTGGATTACACAGTGCGCTTTTCACGGGTTCTGAAAGAAGGAAATGCTCTGTGCTGTGGGATTTACTCAGTTATGAGAGAAAAATCTAAAGCTGTTTCAGTAGAGGATAAAAGGTCTGAGAATCCTTTTCTTTCTTTCTTTTTGTCTCACCTTTTCTTCTTTCTGAGAGGGGACCCTAGGGGGCCGCGGCTCTGAAGAGAATCACCGATAGAGAGAGCTGGTCGGCAGTCCGCATTGAGGCTTACCCTATTTGAGCATGGGTCTCCCTAACATAATGTAATGCACTAATGTTTTCCTTTGCAGCTCGATGAAGGCTGGCTGGAAGATGAAAGGAATGAATTCTTAGAGGAGTTAAACTCAGAGGTGCTGGAGGAAGAACATAATGAAGGGGCCCAGTGCACAGCCAAGGAGCTACAGCAGGTAGGACCATCGATCTGAACAGCATCACTGGAAATGTTGCTAGTTTTCTCTAATGGGTAAGGAAACACAGTCAAAGGGGTTGATCAAACAACTCTGTAATCTTTTTGGGCAAATGATCTTCTCAAATGAAACAGAAGGAATATGGACCTTTTTTTATTAAGATTATTCCCAGTTTGGAAAGCCTGAGCAATATTGTTAATATAATACAGTAGCATTAAGATGTTGAAATAGGTAGTTTTCAACGTAATTTGCAGAAAGTTAATAGTAAATGTGTGTGAGTATTGCATTTGGCTATAATAACTAGGAATAAGTAGCTATCAACTGTGGAGTAACTTCAAAAATGGAAATTTGGACTTTACAATATAAATGTTTCTATAAATGAAAAAAGTGAAAACAGAAGAAGATGTGATATAAGGATTTGTATACTTCATGGGTTAATCATACCTGTGTACACCTAAGCAACCATAAAGGTGATCTTTGGCCCATGCCTGCTGTACGCATGTCCTATTGCATGATTTGAGGTGACTGACATCATGTTATCTAAAGGTCACATATTCATTCAACAAAAATTGGAACTCTTAATGTTCCAAGTACCATCCTGCTACTTAGAATGTTTAAAAGAATAGAGTTCCTGACCTTAATTAATACATAATGAAGGAAGCCCATGGCGTGGCTATGGCAGAGTAAGTCTAAGAGTCTTATTTTTTGTTATTTTTGCACTACAAAAAAACATGACCTACTTTTTATTCTAATTCATGCCCTTCATCTGCCTGACATATCTCTTGTTAACATCCCTGTCAATTCACTACTTTGTTTAATTATCATCCGATTCTCAACATTAATTATTAACTCATCATAAATGATGGGGTTTTTTTTTAAAAAAAAAAACCCTGACAGGTTAAACCATGTGAAGCACAGACATTCTAACACCTCACCAAACTGAATAATGAAATATGTTTTCATGCTTCCATCTCAAACAGAATGTCATAACTACACCCTGAGACAGCAAGCACCACCGTCGACACAGCCAGGAGTGATGTATCTCAGGATTCTTGCTGGCCCCTCTCCTAGCCCGCACTCAGAAATGATGCCACTGGGTGGTAGTTGTTTTGCAGTATAGGTACGGTTGGAGTTTCTATATATGACTTCAGTCAGCACAGGCCACAAATAAAGATATCTTTTGTTGGCAGCTGCTGCTTACAACCAAGAAAATCCTTGCTCCAGGCCTTTTCATTCTTAGATAAAAAAAAATGTAACCAGTACAGAATTGACAAGGGGTTGTTGGAATAAAGAGTAGGGGAGAGATCCTGCTCAGGTAAGGTGATGCAGTGCCAAATGCTGCCTGCTCATCAGATGGAATACAACTGTGAGGGCTTGTGAAGGAACACAAAACGTCCCTGAGGTTAGACACCCATTGTGTGGCCATTTTTCTTCACCAGAAGCCTGAAAACTGATGAGAAGTACAAACACCTCTAAAACGCCTTTGGCCCTCATAAGAAGGACTATTGCATGCGCAATGTCCTGTCAGAAACACTGTCTGTCAGAGTCCTAATTCCAGAGGGCAGTTATAAATGACAGCCAGGCATTATATTAGGAACATTATGTTAGAGCAAGGAACTTGGGGATTGGAAGGGAGATTTTCATTTTCACAGTTTTTCACAGAACAGGGAATGCAAAGTCAGCTTAGCAACTTAAATTTGGAGGCAGATTAGCGAATGCTTTATACCACCAATAATAACTTTCTACGCAGTCTTGGGTTGGACAGCAGCAGTGAAATGATTGTACCATTCGCACGGCATGGTTTGTGTCTTTCCAACTGTACATAGAGTAAGAAAAAGACTAGCCGTTCTGTACTGTCTCAAGTCCTTACAAGATACGAGCATGCTTTAATTGTAAGGACCTGTAGGAGGAGAAGCGGTTCCCACCGCCTGGCTAGCTTAACCCCCGAAATAACCACACGGAATTGTATTAATTTAATTACTTCCTGGCCGATTAGCTCTAGCCTCTTATTGGCTAACCCTCACATCTTGATTAACCCATTTCTATTAACTGTGTATCACCACATGATTGTGACTTACTGAGAGAGATTCAGTATGTCTGACCTGGAGGCTGGCTCCATGGCCGCTCTCTGTCTCTGCCTGCCTTCTTCCTCCCTGAATTCTGTTCTGTCTACTGCACCAACCTGAGGGCTGCCCTATCAAAAGGCCAAGGCAGTCTCTTTATTCAACCAATGAAAGCAACACATCCTACACCAAGGACTGTTGCATATAAACGCAAACTCACAGATGTAATATGACCATCAATCAGGGTTAACGTGAATGAGGCACAGCATGTAGCCCTTGTGAGACAGAGCCGGACGTGGGGCTGTGAATTGCTTTCCTTTGCTAATTGTAATTTTTTTATCATTAAGGCATTTAAAAATCTATCAGTGTAGTCCTAGCTAATAAGTAAGGAAAGCTTGAGAATTTTATAACTAATACATCCATGATAGGTAGCTGTATTTTCCTTATTATTTATATGGCATTACTTTTGGAGAATGAAATACCAATTATCTAGATAGCTTTTAAACTTACTTTAGAGTACTTTTATTATTCCATCCATTCTTTCTTACCGCAGGTGTAATTGTATTTAGTCATGTAGTTTAACTTGCTAGAGTAAGGAGATAGACCCTATAGTGAGTGAATTAATTCACAGTAAGGAAAACAACATGGAGAAGGCAAGGTGGGTCGCTGATGACATGCAGTGAGGAAAGAAAGGCTTTTACCATATCCATCTCTTTGGGTCATTGATAAGCTGTTCTTTATGAAAGTAAAAAATTATCAGGGAGTAAAATTATATATATGCATATATGCAACATATATGCAGATTAGATATGTCCATATATGTCAAAACATGTTCATTATATTATATGAACACCTGCTCATCGTGTTGCTCAAATTTTCCTGGAAACTCTCTGCTTTCACCTGTTATTGGGGAAGGGATTACTGTTCAATTGGTGCAGTAGCCAACACTGTGACTTCAGACTGTTCATACCCATTCTCAAAAAAGTTGGTTGGTTCCAATTCATAATAGTCAATCACTAATGAAGGACTTTAGTTATTTTTCTAGAAGATATTCTCAGAACTTTATTAGTTAAGAAAATTATACCCAGATATTATCCAGGTCAGAGGTTAGTTTTGCCCTTCGTCTTTATTTTCACCTGTTATTGGGGAAGGGATTACTGTTCAATTGGTGCAGTAGCCAACACT